AAAGTGCTTTGAGTATCTTGATTAGATAGAAAGGTGCTATATAAGTACAGTCCATTTACCATTTACATGTACACCTCCAGATGCAGGTAGAGGGCCACCTGCATCATGAAGGACCCCACTCACCCAGCACACACACTTTTGCCCCACCCCCTCAGGAAGGAGGTTGAGGAGCATTAAGTGTAGAACCACTAGACTGAGGAACAGCTTCTACCCTGAGGCTGTTAGACTCATGAATCTCTAATCAGGAAAATTCACTGTAATACCTCTTGATTGTTGATATGTGCTGCTGACTATCCATGCTGCTGATCTTATGCTGCTGATATCGTGATGCATGCTCGATGCTTATGCTGCTGATGTATTTCACGCAGCTGTATTCATACTCCTCTGCCCACACGGTCTCATGTTTGTGCTGCTGTTCGGCGTATTGTTTTACTAAGTGGCTTTTTTATGTATGTGAATTCATTCAACCTTTTATTTCTAGAGGTTAATCCCATTGAGCCTCGAGGACTCTTTTACAAGAGAGACCTGATTTAACAAAGAAAGATGACAACATGACAACAGCGAATGTTCCTGTAAAGTGCCCTGAGACAACTTTGTTGTGATTTGCCGCTGTATAAATAAACTGAATTAAATTAAAGTTTGTACTACTGCTAAGTGTGTTTTTAGTTCACGTTGTTCTTATATCTTAGATCTTATTACTGTTTTTCTTTACATTTTAATACTTTTGTTGGATGTAACTGGGACCCTGTGTACATAATTTTGTTCCACCACATGTACCACATGTGGTGCGTATGACACATAAAGAACCTTTGACTTTGATGTAGCTTTAAGTTAGCTTTTTGCTACTTTTATCTTTTTATATTGCTTTTTGATACTTTTTTGCTTCTGTAGATACCTTTTTGCTACTAATAGCTTTTAATTAGCCTTTGGCTAATGTTAACTTTATGCAAGCTTTATGTAACAAAACGTATAACTAGTTTTAGTAAGAGATTTTTTTTGCTAATTAGTTTTGCTACTTTTAGACCCCTTAGCCACAATTTTGCTACTTGTAGCTTTGAAGTAGCATTTGACTACTTTTAGCTTTTTGCTACGTATAGTTTTGTTTTGCTGCTGTAGCTACTTACAGCTTTTAATTAGCCTTTTGCTACTTTAACTTGTTGCTACATGTAGCTGAAAGTTGTCTTAAAGGTACAAAACTTTTAGCTAGTTTTAGTTTGGTAAAAAAAAAAATCTTTAGCTATTTAGCTTTTACTGGTTAACTTGTATTTTATCTCTTAACAAACTTCAGCTCTGAGCATTTTTCTCCAGTTGTTTTATTTTTATTTTACTTAAAGTTTAAGAGCTTTTAATTTGAAATGACTAAAATATGTTATATTGTTTATGCTTCTTTTACTTTGGCCACAAAACCTCTGATTTAAACTTTAACAGGTGACATCAGCTGATAATTACAGGTGTGTGTTCCAGGTGAACGCTTCCTTCACAATAAAAGCCCGCGGGGCTCGGTTCGGCCCACCTGGGCCAGCTGTGACAGGAAGACTCGGCTCGGGTTTCAGCAGCGGGCGGGGGGGGGATTGGACTTTGAGCTTAGATCTGGTTCACTTTGTGGAACCGGATGAATCTGAATCGAGCTCTAAATGAATCCGGTTCTCGAGCTGTTCACGCGGCGCATCTTGTAAACGACTCACCTGAGTCCGCAGCATTTCCGGTGGCTCTGCAGCGTTTCCGGTGCGTTCAGTAGCTCTCGGACTGCGGGTCTGTAGTCTGCCAGAGGACATGAAGGATTCGGGTCCGATCCTGGACTCGTGGGTCCAGAATCAGTGTGCGGACTCGGATCATTAACTCGGGAAGATCAGAACCGACGCAGCGACGAGACGAGGCTGAACAGCCCGAGTCCAGGAAGACCAGGACCAGGTTCTGGATCGGGTTCTGACCCGAGCTCGGCTTTAATCCTCGAGTCTGGAAGAAAACAGGAGAAAGTTCGGGACGTTTGTGAGGTGAGAAAAGTTTTCCTTTCCCACGGAGAAGTGCGCACTTTGCGCACAAAAGCACGAGAGCGTCGACGGAAAGACGCAGGACTCTTTTTATTCTTATTCCGCGATTTTTAATTAGTTGGGGTTTCATTGTCTCTTGTGCGGATTTCTTGTTTCCTGGATCGTTGAGGTGGGGCCTCCTGAAAGAATCAGTTTTCCAGCTGAGCCGGAGTTTCCAACCACAGGAACAAACTCCGTGCGCTTTATGGAAAACTGAACCTTTGGAGTGATTTTATTGTTCAGCCTCCTGGATCAGTGATTTAAATCAGGGGTTCCTCACATTCCACCCACAGAACAGCAGCAGAGGCTCAGATTGAGGTGCCGCAACATCTGTTTGATCATCAACAACTGTTTGATCATCAACATCTGTTTGGCCATTTTAATGGAATTTATTTTTCGTTTCTTGCAACAAGTACAGTTTGTCCTCACCTTGAAGCTTTCAGGTGTAGCTCGACCAGTTTTTAAAGAAATGTTGGTCTGATTTGTATTGAACCAAATGCATCAGTAGTCCTTACCTTTAAATAAACGTGTTTAACAACCTTCATAAGAACTTGGATGTTTGTAAATCACTGCTGGCTGCAGCACCTGCTGCTTCAGGTGTGTACAGGTAATTATCACTAGTTACACTCAGGAAGTCAATAAAGTACGTATTTTAATGAATAATTGACATTTTGCATAAAAAGTGAATATTGGCTGATTTATTTCTAATTGTAAGCCCCCCTATGTTTGATGACCACAACCCAAACCTGGGACTCAAACACCGCTGGAGTTTCTTCTTCGTCGCGTCAGTTGTTAAAAAGTCAGAAGTTTTTCAGGTTTTCTCAAAAATCTGTCACTTTTGCCTCTTGAGGCCGTTTTTTTAAATTTTCTCGGTGAACGATCCAAACGTCAGAGTTCAATGGATTCACCTTTTTCTGTAAAAGTTTAGATTCAAAAACTGTCAATCAAGACCAATGTATGTTGTATCAAAGCAGACAGAACCTGCTGTCGTCGTTCGCATATTCATTCTTTAATGTTTTACCTCCGATGTCAAAGTTTATTTTTTTATTTTTAGTAAAACTCTTTTAACTTCAGCTGTTTGTTTTTGTTGAGCCACATCAAATTAAAGGTTTCCAGCTTCTTTCCTCTCCATCGACAGCATGAAAACCAGCTGGGCTGCATTGTAAAGGTGCGCTTGCTGCGACCTGTTCCAATAAAACCACGATGACTCCACCAGAACATCTCCGACCGGGCCGGCGTCTTTAAACGTGTGGGAGCATGCAGGCTAACGCAGATGGCTCACGTTGGCCCCGTGCGCTCCCTCCTGGCTTCGCTTTGGGCCCGTGAGGTGATTACAAATGTTGCTGGGTTCTGACAGATTCCTGAGTCACACGTCTGAACCGTCTGCGGAGGCGAAGCGGGTCGCCGACGTGGTGCTGGGTCAAAGGCGGGTCGGCTGCATCAGTAGAAACATCTTAGACGTCGTCGTTTGTGTTCTGCACGAATGGTTTCTCTCTTTTTGTCGAGCAAGACGTTTTTGACAGTTGCTGCCCTGAACAGGAAGTGAACTCGGGTGGAGATTTATTTATCGGAGAAAGTGCTGAAGTCGTCGTTCCGCCCTGCTCGTCGTGCGTCCACCTCTACATGCGTTTGTTTCACTGTGTTAGCACAATATCTGAGAACCGCCGGATGAATTTTAAAGAAACTCGGTGAGTGTACGCCGGCAGATCGTTTACATTTGGAGTCGCACATTTCAAGATGGCGCAAACGTGTTGGAACACTCCGATGTGTGGTAGTAGCTGCGAGTCGCTCCCAGCATGTAGTCTGAGCCCGAACAGGTCATTTACAAAGTCTGACTGAAACAACCACAACTCCTTTGCATCATTAAATGACCAACGGTCTTCAAGGCGGCGGGCGACATGCATTCCTTCAGGAAATGTTAAGCCTTTCTTGGTTTTTGTGCGTTTGCAGAAACGAGTTTTTGGATCTGTTGTTTGTTGAGCGTGACACTCGTGTCATGAATGTGCGTGAACAATGTGACCCACCAGGCTGATGTGTCAGTCGCAAAATAAACTTTGGGTGGAGAAAGTGTCGAAGTTATTCATGGCGTCTGCCGAACCAATTCACCGTCTCGTTATTTCACAACAGCTGAGCTGCCGTTGTGTTCATCTGGATTCAGTTCATCTAATTGCAACATATAACACACTTATTAGAACTTAATAGCACATTATAACGCCTAATAATAGAACGCATGAGAACAAATGCAACCTAAAAAGATATACCATAAATACTGAAGTTTCACCTCTTTAAACAAATTGCTGTAAATGCTAAAAAGCAGCACCACCTATACAGAAATACTGTAAATGCTAGAACATACACACCCATAAAAAATACTTTCAAGTGCTTGAAAAGCCGCACTGCATAAAAAGAATTACCATAAATGCTAAAGTTTCACCTCCTTTTAAAATAATTACCGTAAATATTTGAAAAGCCATGCTTCATCAAAAGATGTACAGTAGTCCCTCTTTTATGGCGGGGGATCTGTACCCTGAAGACCCGCGATAAGTGGAAAACCACGAAGTAGGGATAGTAATACAAGTAGTAAATAGTAGTTTATTTAGTTATTTATTTATATTAAGGTGTTTTAAACCCTTCCCACACTCTTGCAATATTCTAAACAATGTTTCTAAACTCTAAAGGCTCTAAAAGACAGAATGTCATGATTTCAGCTCCCTGCCTCCGCTGCTCTTTGGCTCCTGCAAGCGCTCTTGGCCACGCCCACTTCTCTGATCTGCAGGAAGAACAGCTGATCAGCTGCAGCATGACGTTTATCCTGCAGTGTGGGCTGCACAAAGGTGCAGCAGGTGCTAAATAATAAATTCCATGCCGATCGTGCGGCTCATCCATCAATCAGCCGATTGTGTCATGTCCAATTTTATTATGAAAAACCGCGATGTAGCGAGGGACTACTGTACCGTAAATACTAAAGCTTCGCCTCCTTAAAAGAATTGCCGTAAATGCCATAAGCCGCATCACCTTATGATAAATATAGAAGCTAGAAAAGCCACACCACCTATACAAAAATACCGTAAATGTTTGAAAAGCTGCACCAGCTCAAATGAGTTATTTCGTGCTCGGTTCCAAAAATCACAATCTACAAGATATTTTTTGTTGTCATTTGATTCTGGGTATAAGAACCTTGGGCCCGTCTCAGTCCGGTCCCTGTGACCCAGTTCCCTGAGTACGTCCCTCCTGCTTTTGTAAAATTAGCCTTGATCAGGATCCAGGAGCGTCAACAGACACTTTCAAACGTCTCTTATCACAAGATGGTGAAGCTGTGCAAATATTTCCACACGAGTGGATTCTGCTGTTGGACTTCAGGTCAAACTGGTGTTCTGGTTTAAATTTACCGGACTTGTTGTTTGCACGAGAACGTTCCTCCAGAGAACAATAAAGAACAAAAACACGTCGTCCCAGAGGTGGGATCAGATTTGCTCTTAATCTCTGCTGGTTAACCAGTTGTGAAATGGGCAGAAAGGTCAGGAAGGACGTGAGAGAGGAACAGGAAGTGACGAATGCCTGCGGGGGGGGGCACGGTGGAGACCGGACCCGTGATCTGAAGGATGTGACCAGAAGCACCGGAGCAGTCCGACACGCCCTGCAGACGCTCGTTATGATCCTCTATAATCCACTAATCTCTGTTTCCCCACCGAGCGTCTCCACTTTCCCCCGCACGTCTGTTTGATCTTTTCATCTTGGCCGAACAGGAAAACCCAGAACTTAAAGTGTGGACCAGATTTTAATCTGAGGAACCTGTTGGACCTAACAACTGAGGCGATGCTGCGTCGGCCGCTGTCCATCCTTTTATAATCATTTCTGCTGTTTTAGCTGTTCACATATCAAAACATTTGGCTCATCCAGGAGGTGATTGCTGTAACTTTTTTAACTTTTATTTACAAATATTTACCCCGTAGAAATTCAGAGGTTTCCTCGATTCAATTCTTTTAAAAATGTTGTTTTCCTAAAAATCTGTTTCTGTCTTCTGTTGCTGCTTTTCTCTGACCTTTTTGCTATTTTTACCTTTTAGCTTCCATTCGGCTAATTTTAGCTTTGAGCTACAATTTTTGCTGTGCAAAGCTTTTCGCTAGCTTTTTACTATTTATTGACACCTTTTACCTCCAGCTAGCCTTTTGATACTATTAGCTTTAGGTTTTTACTACTTTTAGAATTTAACTAGCCGTTTGAAACTTTTAGCTACCAATTTACTACTTTTTAGCTTTTAGTTAGCCGTTTGTTTCCTTTAGCTACAATTAATTTACTTTGAACTTTTGGCTACAGTTTTGCTAGCTTCAGTTAGGTTTCTAGAACCATTAAGTTACAGCTAGTGTTTTACTACTTTTAGCTTTTAGTGAGCCCTTTGATGTTTTAAGCTACCATTTGGTTACTTTTAGCTACTTTTTTGCCAGACTTGGCCTTCAGATAGATTTATCTTTAGCTGTTAGATTCTGTTTTGTTACTTTTAGCTAGACTTTTCCACTATTAGCTTTTGGCTAGCTTCATTTTTTTAGCAAGCTTTGTAATACCTTTCAGTTTTATTTTCAGCAATTATTTTGCTATCTTTAGCCTTTTATTACTTTTAGCTAGTCTTTTGATACAGTTTGTCTTCCTAACCTTTTGCTACTTTTGTCTTTTACCTAGTTTTGCTTATTTTAGCTAGTGTTCTACTGATTTTAGCTATTTTCTTCTTCACCTTTGACTTGAACTGCAACCAGGAGATTTAAAGCTGAAGACGGATTCATGAAGGAGATAAATCTGAGGTTTGGTTGAGAAAACGGCCGAGAAGAAGAAGCAGCTAGAGCTGACCTGGAGTCACAGTCGGTCAGATGATTGATGTCTGTGCAGAAACAGCTTTTGTATTTTTGGACCCAGACTCATCCAGAAACAGGAACATCAGCCGAAGGTCGTTGCTCGACACAAACCAGAGTTCAGATGAAGGGTTGGGGGAGTTCAAGGCCGAACTTTGGGCGTCGGAGAGTCTGCTCTCAGAAAAGAGACGGTTCTAGAGAAACGTCTCTCAGGGAGGAGCAGTGAGGAATGTGAGGCTGACGGAAACGACACACCGAAGCTTTTTGTCCTTCGGCTCTTGGTAGGGGCTCGGCTGCAGTCTGTGTGTGTGTGTGTGGGGGGGTCTGGGTTATTAAAGGTCCAAATATTAGTGAACCTGGAGCAGGAATACAAACCAAAACAAAATTATATTTGCAGCTGAGGAGCGCAACAAACAACCGTAACAACCCGGTAAAAAATCTGCGGCTAATAAAAAAACAACAAATATTAAACTGAAGTCACAGCTGCAGAGTTTACAGAGAAATAAAACTTTATTCATGTTTTCTGTTTCTGGGTGAAGCCGTTTGTTGGTTTCCTGTTTCCTGTTTCTTCCAAAAGATTTGTTTATTTATTTATGTATTTATTTATTTATTTTCAAACTTCTTACGCAGATTTGTGCTTGTAGGATTAAATGAGCTCAGACTGAGATGGTTTGGACACGTCCAGAGGAGGGACAGTGGTTTGGACAGGTCCAGAGGAGGGGACAGTGGTTTGGACAGGTCCAGAGGAGGGGACAGTGGTTTGGACAGGTCCAGAGGAGGGGACAGTGGTTTGGACACGTCCAGAGGAGGGGACAGTGGTTTGGACACGTCCAGAAGAGGCACTGTGTGTATTTTGGTAGAAGGATGTTAGAAATGCAGCTGCAGGAAAAAGACAAAGAGGAGACATATGGATGCAGTTAGAGAGGACATGGAGGTAGATGGAGTGAGGACAGAGGATGCAGAGGACAGAGTGAAGACGGAAGACGGTGAGGACAGAGGGAGGACAGAGGATGCAGAGGACAGAGGATGCAGAGGACAGAGTGAAGACAGAAGACTGTGAGGACAGAGTGAGGACAGAGGGAGGACAGATTGAGAAGGAGAATGACTTGCTGTGGACACCCCTGCAGAGGGAAAAGCCGAAAGAAGAAGAAGCATTAAACCCTTCGGCTCCTTCAAGAACAGGATGAGAGAACTTTTCGTTTTTATAACTTTTATACGTTTTAAAATATTTAACTTTTATTTGTAATTATTTTCTCCCCAGGAAAAACATTAAGATCTCATCATGAACTCATTTAAAAACATCGTTCTCTTTGAGCAAAGGCCCTGAAGCCGATTTCATTCTTATTAAGCCCCCTTCAGCTTTTAGCTACCGTTTTGATGGTTTTAGCTTTAGCTGCTGTTTGATCATTCTAAATTTTAGCTATGTTTTTCCAAATTTTACTGTTTATCTCCAGTTTTACCGATTTTAGCTTTTAGCAAATGTTTTAATGGTCAATTCAGTTTTAGCTTTATGAACAGATTTCAGCTGATTTCAGCTGCCGTTCAGCTGATTTCAGCTGCCGTTCAGCATCGGCACTCTTCTGTATTTCATCACACGGGAGTGTTGGAGGAAATATATATATTTTTTGTTTCTTCCACATTTTAAATAAATTCTGTTTTCATAATTGTTTTTTGCTTCTTGACCTTCGGCTGATTTTGGTCGTCTTCAGTCCAGTACCCAGTTTCAGAGTACTGTAATGGGCTTTCTGGCTGCAGAGCTGCTTCATTCAGATTAAGTATTCAGTAAAAAAACAAAATGGCTCCTGACGTCAAGGGACGGAGCGGTGTTGGTTCTGAACGTTCCAAACGAGTCAGAAAACAAGAACCTGTTCTGAATTTCACCTTCGGCTGTTTTTCCTCCTGACAGCCGCTGCAGAAACAGTTTGTTCCAGTTTTTTCGTCACGCCTGCAGAAAATACCGAAGATGTCTCCGTCTGGCGGACACGAAGGAGCATCTGCACGGGCCGCCGGCTGAAGTCTTCACTGACCGGGCTGTCGTTTTCATCAGAACTGGTTCAGACGAGCAGTCGACACCACACAGCTTCGCCTGTCTGACCGTCAGACAGACACAGCTGTCCAACATGAGACAGGAAGACAAACGGAGGTCGCCTTCTGTCCCTCATCCACCCAGCTTGTTTATCAGAGCACCGGCGAGTCAAGGGTGTCTTGTTTAGACACGGGAGGCATTCCAGTTATTTTGTTAAGTGCCTGAAGGAGGTGGCAGAGCTGGGAGCGGAGCCGAGAGGAGCTGAACCCGAGGTTACAATCCAGCAGCAGCGCAGCTCGCTTCAAACCTCAACTTTTTTAGCTAGATACAACTACTGCACGGAAAAAACAACATCCACCACTTTTTTCTCAGGATTCAAGTTTGTAATAATCACGCTGACAAAATGCCGACGCGTTTACAAATAAACTGTATGAGAAATTAAAGTTTGCACTCTTATTAAAGCAGGCAGAAAGAAACAGTAGAAATTAAGCCTCGACTAGAAGATTACTGTAAAATATCACGTCATTTTGAAAAAAAAAAAGTTTAATCTGCTTAAAGGCCGCGTAAAGTTTTAAGTGCTTTTTAGAGGAGAGATGACAAAAGCCCTTCACTTCCAGATGTAAAGAGAAAATAAGAGCTCAGACACTATGAAAGTTTGAGTGTTTGACCTTTGACCTCTGTTAGGATTTAGCATCAATCCTGCAGCAGAGACGCACACGGAGTGAAAGACACAAACGCCTTCAGTTTGAGCTAGAAACTGTCTAACGAGTGTAAAGTTTGCTTTTAATAAAGCAGGAAAGAATAAAAGCCAGATGCCAGAAGTTTTTTTTTATTTATTTTTTATTATATTTTTAGCTTCCCTTATGAGAAATGTCAGGGGAATTCTAGTAAAGGTTTATGGATGTTTATCACTGCTAATGTTAAATTAATGTTGAACCATGTGTTTGAGTTCAGAGAGTTGTTTTCCTCTTATATTCCAAGGTCACCTCCAAGTCTGTGCGATAAGAGGCCGGGGTCGTCGTGCCGATAAGCGTGTACAAAAACACTTGTATACTATCCGGCTCGAAGGACCAAAGTGTTGGATAAAAATGTCCTTGCATTATCTATTACTTAAAAGGAGCCACACACAACAAAATGAGTTTTTTTTTTTTACCCAGTTTACTTGTAGGACAGACAGTCACGAAACAGGTTTATACAGATGTTCAAAGTTACATGCTTAAAGCCCCGTCATGAGAATCTGCGCCGGACACTATGCAAGAAGTATTTTTTATACACGTGTTTGGAAGTTTATGGGAGTAAAAGAGTCTGTTTGTAAATCTTTTATAAAATTTAGACTAAAACAATTTAATTTATACAGTCTCTCCTCATGTTTCCTTCCCTTTTTCTCATCTAAGCAAAATATTATTCTGATTAAGAATAAAAGGGCCGCGCTTTTATAGTTGCAGCTTCGTGCACTCCGCCCATCTTTCAGACGACTGTACGTACATGTTCTCGTTGTATCTCGGTGCAATGATAATAAAGTTTATTCTGATTCTGATTAAATTATCTGTGTGATCTGTTTACGGAAGCTAAATATCTTCAGGACAACGTGTCATGAAGGTGTTTAAAATGACTGTTCTCATAAAGACCTCTAAGAGAAACAACCTCACATTTAGAGTCTTTCAGCGCTCATATGCTGCAGTTGTATTTTATAGAAAAGGCTGTTTTTTTCTAGTTTATCTTGGTGTTTTTGAACCTGGGCTTCACCTCCATAAAAACATTAATCATCAGTGTTAGTTTTCATCAGCTGCAGACGAGGCTCCTTCTAATGGCTGTGCTGCTTGTCTTCTCCAGGAGCTGAGACGTTCTTCCTCGCAGCCATGAGCGCGCAGAGTTCCTTCGGCAGCAACATGCTGTGTGAGTTCCCACAAACCTTTCCCTCGTCTCTGAGGCTCGGTGTTTGATGACCCCTCTGTGTTTCTGTGGCTCAGTTCAGACCATAAACGACGACCTGAACGCATCGCTGGCCACGGCAGACGAGTTGTCCAAGGAGTTCAGCTCCCTGATGCAGGAGGCGTCGTCCAGCAAACCTTCAGCCTCTCAGGTACGCGCCCGCCGGACTCCTTCTGCAGCTTCAGCTCGGTTTGTTCGCACGCCGCCTGTTTCAGCATGTTCAAAACATCAGGTTTTTACAATAAGCACCTTTCTTCCCCATTGCTTAATTTCTGAAGCTAATACGTGCCTCAGGGTGGCCCTTCATGTTTCAAGAGAAACTGGTTTCTAGTAAATAAAAGAAAATGACTGTTTATTAAACATGGCGGCCCTGGTTGGGAAATAACACACTTTAGATAAGACGTTAAAAGTCTTATTAATGCTACAAACGCTGATGAAAGTTATTGTTGGGTTTGTTTAAAACAACTGAGACAGAGAAGAGGACGGTGGCCGTGAGGTGTCAATGAACAACGTTTGAAAAAACAGAATTACATTTGAAGAAATGTAATAAATAAACATAATAAATAAATAATAAAGTTTAAAAAATTGCACTAAAAACAAACCCCACCACTTCTGGTTTTGCTTAATGTAATTCAGTTTTTTCAAATCTTGTTCATTTACACCTCCCAATTCTAAAAGAGTTGGTACGTCGTGTTAGATGTAACTCAAAACGGAATGCAATGATTTATACCTTTTTTTTATTTTAATGCATATTTTATTTTTAGTGGAACATATTAAACACTTAAACTAAGAAATTGTATTTTATTTGTGGGGGTTGGGGGTGTTTAGGTTAACTTTGAATTTTGTGGCACCAGCACATCTCAGACAAGTTGTTCCAGTAGCAACAAAAGGCTGTAAAAGAGGAAACAGCTGGAGGATCGTTTCACATCTAATTCGGTTAATTAGCAACAAGTCGGTAAAAAGACGGAATATAAAAAGTGTTTTTCAGAAGTAAAGATGGGCAAAGGGTCACTGCTCTGTGAAATCTGAGGATAGAGGAATCATCCAACCTGTTATCAGTTTGCAGTTCAAAGCCTGCCTCTCTGATGTTATGGGGGTGCATTAGTGCCTCTGTTATGGGCAGTCTCTCGTCTGTCTTTGTCTCTTCGTCTCTCATCTCTTCATATCTTCTCATCTCTCGTCTCTCCTCATCACTCCTCGACACTCTTCGTCACTCCTCGTCTCTCCTCATCACTCCTAGTCTCTCCTCATCACTCCTCGTCTCTCCTCGTCACTCCTCGTCTCTCCTCGTCTCTCCTCATCACTCCTCGTCTCTCCTCATCTCTTCTCGTCTCTCGTCTTTTCTCTTCATCTCTCCTCTCTTCATATCTTCTCATCTCTTCTCATCTCTTCTCATCTCTCGTCTCTCCTCGTCTCTCCTCATCACTCCTCGTCTCTCCTCATCACTCCTCGTCACTCTTCGTCTCTCCTCATCACTCCTCGTCACTCTTCGTCACTCCTCGTCTCTCCTCATCACTCCTAGTCTCTCCTCGTCTCTCCTCGTCTCTCTTCGTCTCCTCGTCTCTCCTCGTCTCTCCTCGTCACTCCTCGTCACTCCTCGTCACTCCTCGTCTCTCCTCATCACTCCTAGTCTCTCCTCGTCTCTCCTCGTCTCTCTTGTCTCTCCTCGTCTCTCCTCGTCTCTCCTCGTCACTCCTCGTCACTCTTCGTCACTCCTCGTCTCTCCTCATCACTCCTAGTCTCTCCTCGTCTCTCCTCGTCTCTCTTCGTCTCTCCTCGTCTCTCCTCGTCTCTCCTCGTCACTCCTCGTCTCTCCTCATCTCTTCTCGTCTCTCGTCTTTTCTCTTCATCTCTCCTCTCTTCATATCTTCTCATCTCTCGTCTCTCTTTGTCTTTCCTCGTCACTCCTCGTCACTCCTCATCTCTCTTCGTCTCTCCTCGTCACTCCTCGTCTCTCCTCATCTCTTCTCGTCTCTCGTCTTTTCTCTTCATCTCTCCTCTCTTCATATCTTATCATCTCTTCTCATCTCTCGTCTCTCTTTGTCTTTCCTCGTCACTCCTCGTCACTCCTCGTCACTCCTCGTCTCTCCTCGTCTCTCCTCGTCTCTCTTCGTCTCTTCGTCTCTCCTCGTCTCTCCTCATCTCTCTTCGTCTCTCCTCGTCTCTCCTCATCTCTCCTTGTCTCTCTGGTTTCTCAACAGCCTCATCAGTTTTGATGATGATGACGATGTTCGTTTTTTTTTGGTGTTTCACAACTTCTTTTTTTTTTTCTTCCACCTTTTTGTAGTTTTATGAAACATTTTGACATCAGTCCAGTTCTTCTGAAAATAAAGTGTCAGATCGTCCCTTCATGATGTATTTTTCTCTTCAGACCAGCTCAAATACCTTCAGGAACCAGTCTCAGTCCATCGGGTCCTCCAGTCCGAGGCTGTCTTCAGGAACTGACGGCAGCTCCGGCTCCATGCCCTTCTCCTCCAACCAGACGTATTACAGTCCCATTGACTCTGGCATCTCCAGCAGCAGCAGCAGAAACGTCCCGTCCCCGCCTGTCATCCCCTATGGGTCGCCCAGCCTGTCCGGCTCCACGTTGTCCTCGGGAAGGTCCACTAACGGCAGCTTCAAACCCTTCTCCCCGATTCAGACTTTCTTTAATCCCATTGACCCAAACATCTCTAGCAGCAAAAACGCTCCATCTCCACCTGCTGTCTCCAACAGTCCACGTTCATCCCCGAAGATCCCGCGGTCACCACGGGTTCACAGACGATCCGGACCAGACAGCTTCCCGTTCATACAGCAGGCGCCCGTCTCTCCGCGGTCCGATTCCCCCTCCTACTACGACATGAATCCACAGGGCTTCGTCGGCTACAAGGAGAGAACTAATTCACCGAGCCGGAAGTCTGGAAGTTTGGACCAATCGTCTCGCTCCGCTTCACATCAAACATCTCTGCTGAGTCCGAGCGACAGCAGCCTGATGGGCCTCCGGTCCCCTCGACACGACAAGGGTCCGTCTCCGCTGGCCTTCAAGAGCTCCTCTCCTTCGCCTTTCAACCAGACGTATTCCAGCACCCTTCCTCGAAACTTCCACGGCTCAGGACCACCTGGTGAGAGGGTCTTCTCATCCTAGACTTAAAGGTTTAAATTAAGTTTATTCATTTGGGTTTTCTCAGTAAATAAAAACATGTTTTGCTCGTGCTTCCTTTCCTTTCACCGTGAAACCTGAAGACGATGGCGGCAAACAGCAAAAATCTCCCAACAAGTGGAACGAGTCCGATCTGGACGTGGCCTACGAGAGGAAACCTCATCACAGCTACGACAGTCGGTCGATTTCTCTGCTCTTACATTGGTCTTATGTTTCTGGAAATGTTCTCCCTTTCTACAACGCCGTTCTTCTCCGTTCTCCCAGAGACGGAGTGGATGCGTCCATTCGTGCCAAACAGCAACTGGCGAGAATCCAACCTCGATGGCCCTCCTCCGACCTCGAGTCCCAAAAAGGTGGGTCACGTTTGACACGTGCTGACTTGTTTTATGGGATTTGTGTACCTCAGACCATCTCATTTGTTCCTGAACACTCAAGCCCTTCAGCTTCAGATGTCGGTCAACTGGGAACAAATATTAGTATTTATCACAGTATATGTCCACCAACAGACGATTGTACTGTGGTATAGTCTCCATCCGTATGTATGTACAACTTTCTCTTGTCCCTAATCCTAACCCACTTTTCATCATACCAGCTTCAAGGTCAAAGGTCAAGGTCTTCGCTTGTCCAGCCCATTACTATAGATAGTTGTACAATAGTGTACTGACAGGTGTATAAAGTACTGTACTCTTGTGTCTTGTTTTTGTCTCGTAAGAACCTTGTGAAGAGTTTATTTTCATTTAAAACACTTTTTTGCACTTTTGATGGTCAAAAATGAAACTTGGCAGAGCGCTTCTGAAAAGGAAAAAGATTATTATGACGATCCAGGTGACAATACAAACACAGGAGAATTTAAAAAATGTATAACTCCAGGTGTTTTCGCTAAAGTTTAGGACACGGTTTGAGGTTTTTAGTGTTTTTGCCTCACGGCGAGCAGAAAACTGCAGGTTTCACTGTAGTCTGCGTTTCATCACAACATTAAGATCTTAAACAACAAGGAGAGTTTTAAAGTTGGATACTGGAGTTGCCAGACGTCACTGCTCCAGTGTGTGACTGTTGGTAAAAGTGGAAATTCCTTTGTTCACTTAACAACTACATGTTTTTCACGAGGTTAAAGTTCGTTCACACCTGAACGACAAACATTAGTGTTTTTCAATGTTTACTGTGGCGAACCAACATAAAACAAAAATACACATTTACGTGAACCTGCTGTAGTTTCCATGCCAGACAGGGTTGCCAGATAGAAAATGCTTCCAAAAGTGCATAAAAACCACACTCTCTCCGCAGGTAGAGCTCCCAGCGACGTCTGCGAGAGGTGGGGGGAGTCCCAAAAACTTTCACTCTAAGACCGGGATTCAAAAAGCTTTGGCTTCAGAGGAAACGGGCGCTGTTGTCGCGTACATGAACGGCTGAACCGCAGCAGAAAATCCAGTCTCACTCAAAATCAGTGCCGTGTAAACTGGGACCAAGTCTGTCACGAAGAATGTTGCGTCGCGCTACAAACGTTTATGTTGATGTTTGGTCTTGCTCATGTGGTACGGTGGTTTTGTGCTTCCTGGACGGATTCAACCTTTTAACAAAAATCTCTTTTTCTTTTTTCATACTTCCAGGAGCATCACCTGCTTCCCCAGCAGGGTTCCTACGGTTCCCTGCCTCGTAACGCTCGTATATCGGTGCCACCAGATGTTTCTCCTCAAACCCAGTTCCCGCGGGACTTGAAAAACCCGGCTTACTACACTCAGCCCATGTCCCGCATTTCAGTTCCTCCAAATGCCCCTCAGCACCACCAACAGAGGGGCCTGCCGCTCTCCGTCATCCTGCGCCTCCAGAACCCCTACTTCGGCGCCATGGCGACCCACCCCTCTGAGGTTTTCGAGGGAGACCGAGACGTTCCACCTTACCAACCGCCTGTCCCCATCCTGCAGGAATTCTTCCACCAACCTGCCTTCCAACTTCAGCAACATCCACCTGAGCTGAGGCAGCCAGCTGTGTACAGCGACGGTAAAACAAGTTTCACATCTGGATCCAAAATATTTAGTTTCAGCTGTTTTATTTTAAACGTGGTTTGTTTGTCTCCAGTCCTGCACTCAGGAGACGTAGACGCAGAGATCGAGCGTCTGGACAGTGGGTTTTACACTCCGGTGACTTCAGAGAGTCCTGCCACACCTGGGGGAGGTGGAGAGGTGGAGCAGGTGGAGCCGCCTGCTCCGCGGCCCCTGAGCCCCACCAGGCTGCAACCAGTTGTGGCCCCTGAGGCCCGGAGCCACGAGATCCCCGACTCTGAGGAGCTGCTCCGCATCAGGGCAGAAATCCCCCGTCCTCTGAAGAGGCGAGGTTCCGTGGACCCGACCCAGCCTTTGAACAAGGCCTCAAATTACCAGCGAAACCAGTACAAATCCGCCATCAGCAATTTTTTCCACGGGAACCGCGAAAAAGGGGAGCAGAGAAGTGAGAGCGGGAGCTCCTCGGATGGAGAGGACAGCGTTGCGCTACCTCCTCCATTACCACCTCCTCAGACGTCCAGGGTGGTTCTGCCAGAAGTCAAAGTGAGGAACGTTTCAGGGTTTGGACCAGTTGGGTTACTGTTGTTCGTTCTGATGTTCTGTTTACATCTGCTCTTTCCTCCAGAACTATCCTACGATTCTGCGCAAGTCCAGGGATCGCAAGAGTCCTGGGAGGCGAGCTCGACTCAGCCCGCTGGTGCTGCTGCTGGACGGAGCGTTGGTGGGCGAACTGGACACTGTGAAGAAAGCTGTGCAGGAGGTATTTCTACCAAAACACAACAACATATTTAAATGTTTACCGCCGCGAGTC